TTTCTTTCTTTCTTTCTTTCTTTCTTTCTTTCTTTCTTTCTTTCTTTTTTTCTTTCTCTTCCTTCCTTCCTTCCTTTTTCCCTTCATCCTATCTTTTCCTTTCTTTTCCCCTCTCCATTCTCTCTTCCTCAATCCCTCTTTCTTTCTTTCTTTTTTCTCTCCCTCCCTTCCTTTTTTCCCCTTTTCTTCATCCTATTTTTTCTTTCTTTTCCTCCCTCTCTCCCTTCTTCCTTTTTTCTTTCCTTTTCCTCTCCCTTCCTTCCCTTCCCCTCTCCCCCATCCCAAGTCCAGTAGTATCCCCAAATTGCACAAACCCAGGGGGGGGGGATTGCTATTATTTTGAGAGTTAAAAATGAGGAGTCCGCAGATCTAGGACGCCTCAAAACTCAAGTCATCCAGTCTTGCTTGGGTTAAGTTGCTCCTTGTTCCCCGTCACCCAGCACCTTTCAGCCTCCAACCATTGGCTAAGCACCTGGAGGCAAAAAAATCTCCATTTCATGGGTTGACTGAGAGAAGGAATGTCCGTTAAATCCAAACGTCCATTAAATCAGAATGCGCATTTGTACCCATCTATATCTATGTAAATCACATCAATCATGTCAGGTATCTGGATAAAATTAAATTTAGCACATTTTAGGGGATGTTTGTCCACTAAAGGGAAATGCAATTAAATGCAAACTTTATTGGTTTCTTCCCAAATCTATTAAATCAAGGTTTTATTCTTTACTTTTTTAAAAGTATGAGTGGAACAAAATCCTGAAACAGCCGAAGATAATATTTTTCATAACACATGTCCAATCTTGAGTTTGGGATTGTTTATTTTTTTAAAAAAAAAACAAGTTTTATTGATTTTACAAACAAACAAACAAAACAAAACATCATTAAACATTAAAAACATAAAACCTCTTTCCATTGTAGATCTTTACAAGGCAGATAACATATTGCTTTATATCACGTACTTATAATTTATCCCATTTCCATATAAACACGTAAATTCCCTTTACCAAATTCCACATTGTTTCTCTTTAATCATTATTCAATCATATTTCCTTTCTAATTTATCTGCTATTCAGTCATCACATTTATATTTTCCTCTGGCTTGTTTATAATTATTCTCATCTAGTCTTCCTCCGAGATTTTATTATTTAATTCTTAATTAAACACACACACATAAGACATAAACATAAAAACATAAAACTTTCTTCTAGAAAGTAACTTGGCCCCAGATTAAGTTTGGGATTGTTTATAATGCTTTGTTTCACAGGCAGCATGAAGCTTTTAGACTGGGGTCAGGAAGGGGTTGCTTCGAAATTTAAACCCAGACTGTCTTTATTCCTACAAAACATTAACTCTCCACTTCTCTTCTCTCTCTCTTTCTCTCTCTCCTCTCCTCCTTCCCCTTTGAAATCTCTCTTTTTTTTTTTACAAGGCAGGAAACATTTCTCACGCCTTAAAGCTATCCCAGGAATTTCTTCACTACGGTATGTGCTTCTCGGAAAGAAAAATTCAGATTTATTTGATCTGTCAGTCTAACACCACCCCTTTCAAACTTGTGGTTTTAATAAATTCCATCACGTCTTCACTGCCAAAGGAATACTGTATTTACCCGAAAAGGAGGAAACTATGAATTTTGCATGCAAAATTCCAAAACACCGTAAAGATAAGCGAGAGAAAATCTCACTCCCTTCCTTTTTCTATATTCTCGGCAAATAGAACAGGCCTCCCACTGAAAAAAAGTGAATTATTTTTTGGGGAAAAAATACACTAGGTTTGAAATTACAACAGGCCTCCCTAGAATTATTACTACAGGTTGTCCTCGACTTAGAGCCATGAGGGAGCCCAAAATTTCTGTTGCTAAACAAGGCGGTTGTTAAGTGGGGTTTTTGCCTCATTTTACGGCCTTTCTTGCCAAAGCTGTTAAGTTGTTAAGTGAGTCGCATGGCCGTTAAGTTAATCTGGCTTCCCCGTTGACTTTGCTTGTCAGAAGGTCACAAAAGGGGATCACCTGACACCCCCCCGGGACCCTGCGACTGTCATAAGTATGAATCAGTTGTGTCTGAATTTTGATCACATGACCAGAGCCTGCAAATGGTCGTAAGGGAGGGAAACGGTCATAAGTCCCTTTTTCCAGTGCTGTTGTAACTTCAAAAGGTCACTAAACAAACGGTTGCAAGTTGAGGACTACTGGTACAAATAGAAACATAAGAAAACATTTAATTTCTGCATTTATTATTGCTTTTCTCGTTACAACAGTCCGTTCACTAAATGAATGGTTGTAAGTCCCTGACTTACAACTGGTTGCTTTATGACCGTTTGAAATTACAGATACAGATACAGATGAACAGATTTGGAAGGGACCCTTGTAGGTCATCTAGTCCAACACCCCTGCCCAAGCAGGAGACCCTACCCCATTTCTGACACAATGGGCCTCTCCATAACTACTTAGCATCCGTTTTCAGCGCTAAGATGGTCACACACAATTAGGATTACATTTTGAGCATTTGGCAACTAGCTTATCTTTACAGTCATTTGTAGCATCAAGTGGCTGCGATTTGCAGCGGTTTTGTTTTTTTTTGCTGGTTTCCGGTAAACAAAACAACACACCCCATTGGAGGAAATGGATTCACTTAACGACTGCATTCTCTTAACAATGACGGCATTTGCTTAAGGAAAAAACAGGTCGAATCCAGTCATGTGATGTTTTGACTTACAACTTTAACCACTTATGACCTTTATTCTGGACTCAATCTCAGTCACAAATTAAGGATGACTTGTAAATTAAGGATTACTTCCTTTGGGGTAAAATATGATAGATTTTATTTCTTTCAAATTTTATGGCATCACTTGCAATGAAAGAGAAGGAGCAAACCAAATATTATAAGAAATGGGAACTATTGAGAGGGATCTCGGAGTCTTAGTGGACAACCAGCTAAATAGGAGCCAGCCGTGTGCAGCAGCAGCCAAAAAAGCTAATGCAATCCTAAACTGCATTCACAAAGGGATAATAGAATTAAACATGTTAAGAAGAGGAGTGTTATAGTAATAGAGATATTATTTATATCAATAAGAATAAGATAAGAATAGAGACTTAATACCAAAGTAACGAACATGATTGTAAATTTTAATTGTTATTGCACAAGGTATTTGTACCCAGACTATATACACATATATATATATATATATGAACTTTAGGTAAGAACATATTCAACCACACAGTTTTATTCTGAATTTGTTAATCGGGAGGCACTGCTGTTTCCTAAAAATATGCTTCCTAATCATGAGCACTGTAGAATTAAATAATCTCCATTTATTTTGCACTGTCTGGGTATGATTAAGCGACCATTGGAAACAGCTTGGAAAGGGTTCCTTAATTTTATTTTTTTCCCCCCAAACTGGTAAGTGATATTTTGCACCATCGTGAATTTCAGACGCTGAGTCAGACTGTTGTTAGAGCATCAGGAACAGAGAAAAAACATTTTTCTAGCCAGCTGGCAAGTCATCCTCTGGTTGGAGAAAAGGAAACACGCAGACTTCCAGCAGGGTTTTTCAAATTGAGTTCTGCACAGTTTGACGGGATCCTTGGAGGTATTAAGGACCAAAAGACCAAAAATAAATAAATCATTCTACTGGAATATTCCTGGCAGTTTTCAGAAGTGTCTGCAGGTCAAAAAAGTCAAGATGGAGGCCAGGACGATGTAATGGAAGCTCTGCCTGTGGTTTTTTTAAAATTTGTGCGACTGTTTGAGCTTAAATGGATTCCAGAGGATGGTAGAGGTCAGGAAGGCCTGAAGGAAAATTGTCCATGGAGTCGCAATGGGTCGGACACGCATAAATACAGGGAGATATACTTCATTGGATAACAGATTAACAGAATTGGAAGGGACCCTGCAGGTCATCTAGTCCAACCCCCATTTCTGAAACATTTAAGTATCTTATATACTATTTTTTTTTTGAATTTCCTTATTTCTTACGCAACAACAAAGCCCACTGTTCCATCTGCAATCTCGATTTTTTTGGACCAAATCCTGAATTTCCCGCTTCCCCTGGCATTGTTCTCATTAAAAATAGAACCCTGATTTGTTTGGCTAAGAAGAGGCAGGACTGCTGTTTGTCTGAAATGGCATAGGCTGGGACTCCTGCCTGAGCAGGGGGTTGGACTAGATGACCTTCATGGTCCCTCCCAACTCTCGTTATTTTGTTACAGCCAGTGCTTGACTGACAACCATTTGTTTCAAAGTTACAACGGCACTGGGGAAAAAAAGTGACTTATGACCATTTTTCACACTTATGACCGTCGTGAAATCCCCCTGGTTACGTGATCAAAATTCAGATGTTTGGCCACCGACTCCTATTTACGACAGTTGCACGTCCTTAACAAACTTGGCCAGAAAGGTCGTAAAACACAACTCTACTGAGCAACTGTCTTGCTTAGCAATAGGAATTTTGGGCTCAGTTGCGGTCCTAAGTCGAGGACTACCTGCAATTGGGAATTTCGTAATTTTATTTTTTTCTGCGCTGGAAATATTGCTTCTGCATTTCCAAATAGGTCTTTTTCTGAAAGTCGAAACAGAAATAAATTAGAAACAAAAGTTTCACCCTCCAGTCAATTTTCTGGGCGTAGAATTTTGCCTCTTGATTAATGGTTCCATTTGAAAAAAAAAAATACGAAGGTCCAAGAGCTTTTTTTTTTTTAAACCCTCTGCCATATAATGTCCCAAAAGTGCTTTTTCTGGAGGCAATATATATATATAAAATTTTACCAAAAAAACCCTACCCAACTTGTCTACTAGTAGTAAAACAAATAATATACATATTATTATATGATTATAGCTATATTAACTTATTTGTAGTCATATTAATTATAGTAGCATGCTTATGGTCCTAAATAATATTCATCTTTTTTTACATACACATAACAATAATCTTTCATCTTTTAACTTCCACCTCTTGGATCTAACCACCGATAAAATCTGTCCCATGCTGAATAATACTCTGTGTCTCTTTTTATTTTTCATTTTTAACGCCATTTATCCATCTCTGCCCAATCCAATATTTTCCGAATTATGTTTTCATCTGGTGGGGTGTCCTCATTTTTCCAATATCGTGCAAATAAAATTCACGTTGCTGCCAACACACGAGGCATTCATTAAGTTTGTAGTCCCTTTTATCACAGCTTTCTGGTATTATTCCTAACAAAAAAATATGGCTTCGAATCTATGGGCTGCTTAATCGTCTTTTCCAGCCACGTGTGTATTTTCGTCCAATATTGTCTTGCTTTGATACGTGTCCACCACATAGGATAATAGGTACCTGGCATCTGGTTACATTTCCCCAAGAAGTGCCCGATCCATTTCAGGGGTGAAGGATAAGGAGGAAAGAAGGTCCTGGGTTGGAAACCGCCTTCTTCTATCCTGGTTTGAAGATGGTTGGGACCATTTTTTTTGTCCTCTTCCCCAGATCCGGGCAACGAGCGGATGGAGAGGAACATCTTGAAGTATGAGAAGCTTTTGAGGAAAGAACAGGAGGAGGGAAAAGGACAAATCACGCTACAGAGGCCCAACGCGACCCACCTGGAGACGCGAGATGCTTATGAGGAGCTCTGCCAGAGGCTGGGGTCTCAGGTGGGTGAGGAGAGGAGGAAGGATTTTAAGGTGGACCACAACGTGATGTGTCCCTGGGTGAAGGTCTCTCTGAGGGAGGGAGACCCATTGATTCTATTTGATTCTATAGGTCTCGGCCAGAGGTGCATATAATCTGCCTTTTCTAGGGGAATTCCCATCTTCCGTGGAAGTCTTGCTTCCACTTTAGCCTTACAACAATGAGCCTGTAAGGTAGGCCGCTCTGAAGGATCCAAACCTCATCCGAATCTTCCTTGGAAAAGAGAGGAATTCTTTCTTTCTTTTCTTCCTTCCTTCCTTTACTTTCTTTCCTTCTTTCTTTCATTTCTCCTTTCCATCCCTCTCTCCTCCTTTCCTTCCATCTCTCCTTTGTTCCATCTCTCTTTCCTCCCTCTCTCCCTCCCATCTCTCTCCTCCTTTCCTTCTGTCTTTCTTTCCTTCCTTTCTCCCTTCCTTCCATCTCTCTCTCTATCCTTCCTTTCTCTCTGCCTCCCTTCCCTCTCTCCCTTCTTTCCTTTCTCTCTTCCTTCCATCTGTCTCTATCCTTCCT